AGGAGTTCGTAAAGGAACCGATGGAAGAAGGTAGAAGTAGTTTAGAGACATATGGACAGAGACAGGCCACGTGTCATTGGAGGAACAAGAACAGAGAGAGATCTTGAAAGCCGACAGAAAATTCGGACTAACCGACATTCCGATGAGGAAGCGAATTGCACTCCTCTTCTTCTTCTTCTTCCTTCTTCTCGGCACGGTCAACGATCGCCAACCGTTCCCTTTTACCCTCTTCCCCATCCCCCTTCCCCATCCCCCTAGTTTCTCCTATTCAACTAACGAAATATATCGGATTAACTTGGGAAGAGGAGATATTACTTAAGAAAGTATAAAACAGGTTTGTAAAGAAGAAAAATACAAAAAAAAAATCTACTTTTGTATTCCATACCTGATGTTTTATATATATATATATATATACACTATATTATTATCGTTTATTTATCGACGACGTATATTATTATAATTTCTTTCTCGTTTATTTTCTTCAGGGTTTGCTTACTTGTTTTAGAATTAATAACTAATGTCTTCAGTTATGGGCTCTTTAATTGCACAAGGCAACGATCCAACTGATCGTGTCAAGGGTACGCGATATACCACGTTACGTGTTTCTACGTATATATATATATATATATATCTATCTTTAATGTATATTGTATAACTATAGCTACATATAGGTGTATATATATATGAATATAACTGTTTATAGATATGCGTGTAATATCCAGTTTTATGTTAGAATCTCGACGAAAAGTTCGATCGTGAGAGAATAAGTTACAACGCGAGGATACTACCGCGGAAATTTAATTAAAATCTATCGCGGGATTCATCGTGACTTGGTATGGTAGTGTAGATTTACGTTAAGCCGATGTAACTGCATACTCCTGATGCTGCTTTATATGTTGTCCTATTTATTGAAGGGCTTTGTCGTCTTTCTCTTTGCTCCAATGTTCCTGGATACGCTTCACTGACACCTCGTTCAATTATTGCCTCGCTTCGTTGAATAAAACACGTATAAAGCTTCCTCCTATTCCTTTCCCCCTTCCCTCCACCTCACACCTCACACCTCCCCCATTTACCCAATTCTCTAAGATTTTTTTCTATTTATTTATTTATTTTCTCTTATCTTTTTACCCCCTTGCATATTACGTTTATTCTATTACTTTGACTTTTTCACGAGCAATTATGGGGGATTTATTTTTGTCGTAAGGTATACGGTGGAATGGGGATAAATGTGATGAGAAGAGGAATAGGGGATAGGGGGGGGGGAGGAAGAAAAATAAACAAAATAATAAATGAATGAGAGCGGGTCGTAGTAACGATGAAGCTGAAAATGCCGAATCATCTAGGAAACCCTGGGATATTCAATGTTCGTTATCCACATCTTTCTCTTTTTTTTTTGTTTCTTTTTCTTTTTCTTTTTCTCTTTATGGTAAAAGGATCGAAAATTTGAATCGCGTTTAAGCTGAGCCCCTTTACTTCTCAACGTTGCATTTCCGTTAAGCCACCTTCCCTACGGCGCAATTTTTAATCCTTCTTATAACTCAAACCACGAGGACGACGATTTATCGTCGAGCTGGTTAGAATTTCCTATTTTCATCAATCCCTCCCCCCTCCCCCAGCCCCCCACTCAGTGTCCCTATTACCACTACTACCGATGACTATGACGACGATGATGGCGATGGGATTCTCAGTATTGTGGCAGATGTCGAATATGACGTCAGGTTATGCTTGTAAGATTTTTAAACGATCAATCTTATGAATATTCTCATAGTTAGTTTTTCATACTTGTTAATGACTTTTTCCTTTTTTTTTTCTTTTTTTTTTTTTTCTTAGAATCCAACTTTGAATGATGCGTTAATGTTATTGCGTTATATTAATCGCGTCTGGTATAAATGTTACATTGTATACACATATTTATTTATCAATTCGAATAGAAATGAAAATTTTCAAATTACACATGCAAACAACATTACAAAGTTTTTTAAAAATATACCAATAATTATTTCTATTAACGGATATCATATCACTTTTAAATATTTTTTTGTATTGTTAATAGAATAATGGTACTTTATGATACTTGAATAATACATAACCAAAAATAGTTTCCATTTACGTTCAAAGAAATTCTTCTATTGAGAGATCCATTTTAATAAAAGAATTCTTACTCGCTTTATTTCGAATGTTCAGTGATCCAGTGATCCAGTTTTAGTTCGCGGATAGGTAAATGTAAATATAAAGTACATAAAGAAGACACATATATATGTGTAAATGTTTGATGATTCGTTACTATACTTATACCAATACTTTGATTACTCTCTCACACTAATATTTGATGAATTATCTTCAAATGAATTGATCTACTTGACAATAAATTAATTAGTTTATACTTACCAATAATAATAATAATAATAATAATAATAATAATAATAAAAGAAATAAAACACAAGAGAGTCGTGTCAAAGTAAAAGCAGTAAAGTTCATACGTTGACCCAGGTTAAAACAGACTAAATTTGCGTCAAATTTTGTCAGAATCTTTTGCCAAGACGATGCAGTTTAACATGTGGTTGATGATATATGCTGTCAAAACAGGGTAAAGGGGGAACCTGACAGAACGTTATTTTTACATGAGAACTTTTCGCACGAGCTTCGAAGCGCCTCGAGTCTCGTGAGAATCTTGGTTTGGATTCAGGTGTGTAGTTTGGTCTCGAGGAATGAGTGAGAAAGGAAAATATCATTAGAGGGGAGAGAGAAAGAGAAAGAGGAACAAACACACGTTGGTTTGGTTGACTTATGTTAGAATTTAAGTCCGGGTAAATGACGTCGGGGATGACCAACGTCATCTACAACTCGCAGCTGCACTTACGAGTACCTTTGCTGTTTCTTTCATCGTGATCTTACCTCATTGCATCGAATCACACGTATACAATACATACATATTTTTCTCGTACACGTATATATATATATATTTATTATATATAATATACACATATAGACACAGACGCGAATGGAAATATTTTTCTTAACGATCTTCGCATGACGGCATTTTACGGATTTATAGGTGAACACTTCGAGTTTCTTTTTCTCATTCTCTCTTTTTCTGTCTGATCTTGAACATAATTTTGTTCTTTTACAATATTAAACACGTATGTACATTGTTTTGATGTCGATCTTCTTTGACGTTGTCGAGTTAAGCACCTACCCCAAAAAAGAAATGTAGTTTCTTCCTTTCTTTAGGTTTCTTATTTATTTATTTTTGCTTTTAAGAGTTACGTTTCAAATGAAAGAGTTATACTAGAAAAGGTTTTTCAAAGATATTTTTTTCTCAATTTACTTTTTCGACTAAATTATTTACACACACCGAAAAAAAAAGAAAACAATCTTTTTCAAATTTTGCCACGAGGTTTGCCCTTTTCTTTTTCTTTAATGTTGTATCGTTTCTCATTAAAAAAACATTTCTATACAAATATATATATATATATATTTATTTATTTATTTATTTATTTATTTATTTATTTATTTAATTTATAAGATTATTATTAGAAGAAAATTCAAAAGATTTATTTCAATTTATTGTTAGAACTTTGGCAAAGGAGAGTAAGTTGGATAAGACAAATCTAACTTCCTCTCTCAATTATTATAGCTCATTAAGATACAACTGGTGCGCGTAACTTTTTGTCTCTTTCTCTCTTAAACTGTCAAGATGGTAGATGGATCGTGTCTATGAAAGCACAAATCCTCTTTCACCTAACGGCATAGAAATATGACATAGGGCAAATAGCTCCAAAGAGAGAAGGAGAGAGAGAAAGAGAAAGAGAGAAAGAGAGTAGAATTTTCTCCATTAAAACACAAAAGCTCTTCACTTTGGAAAATGAAGTGGAATTGGATCTGCTGATTTTTTTGTTTTAAAGTGGGTCACAATAGTTATCCTTAAAGACAATACCATCAAACCAATAATATTTTTATAAAATATCTCAAATGATTTTCCTTTCTTTTTATTTCTCTCTCTCTCTCTCTCACTCTCTTTCTCTCTCTCTCTCTCTCTCTCTCTCTCCTTGCCTGTCGATCCAAACTCTCAGACTTTGGCAAATCTTCCTCGATTAAATCTTGAACATTCTCCAATCGTACTTAAACATTCAACCGTCTGAATTATCTATAACAGTTGAGACGTTTCAGTTTGGTAGGAATATTTCAATACGTTACCTCATTTGTCAATCGCAATATTCATGATGTCATACGATCTACCTTAATCATTGAATTTACAATAGTTACTAATATAATATTTATTACTAAGAAATATTTCCACATAAATAGAGTTCAATCTTCATCGATAACGAACATTTATCGCATTTAAAAAAGAAAAAGAGAACGTTAAGAAACATTATTATTATTATTCTCTTTTTATTAGAACTTTTGTCCTGTTATAATAGTTTTTTTATTAATTACTCTATTTCTAGGAACGATTTATTTATATTATTAATT